AGGTCAAACCAGTCACAGGATGCCATCCATCCATCTTGCCCTTGGTCGGCCCCTCTTCCTTTTTCCTTCCATTTTCCCCAGCATAATTGTCTTCTCTAAGCTTTCCTTTCTTCTCATGATGTATGCTATATATATTATATATTAATATACATTTTGTATTATATAATATATATACTATATTTATATATGTTATATATTAAATATAATATAATATAATGCCTCCTGGCTCATCAGTGGAGAGCCCTCCCCTCCCAGCAACAATATAGTAATATATAATACTATTGTGCTATTCTAATAATATAATATATTGTATATACATATAATATTGACAATATTATAATGTAATACAATATAATACTAATACAATATAATAATTGTATATTATATATTACATGTAATATTACTAATAATATTGCAGTATAGTGTTATAGTAGAATATAGTAATACATAATCATAGAATCATAGAATCAAAGAGTTGGAAGAGACCTCATGGGCCATCCAGTTCAACCCCCTGCCAAGGAGCAGGAATATTGCATTCAAATCACCCCTGACAGATGGCCATCCAGCCTCTGTTTAAAAGCTTCCAAAGAAGGAGCCTCCACCACACTCCGGGGCAGAGAGTTCCACTGCTGAACGGCTCTCACAGTCAGGAAGTTCTTCCTCATGTTCAGATGGAATCTCCTCTCTTGTAGTTTGAAGCCATTGTTCCGCGTCCTAGTCTCCAGGGAAGCAGAAAACAAGCTTGCTCCCTCCTCCCTGTGGCTTCCTCTCACATATTTATACATGGCTATCATATCCCCTCTCAGCCTTCTCTTCTTCAGGCTAAACATGCCCAGCTCCTTAAGCCGCTCCTCATAGGGCTTGTTCTCCAGACCTTTTATCATTTTAGTCGCTCTCCTCTGGACACATTCCATTCCACTAATATTGTGCTATTTATTTATCGTATCAGAAGCAAACCAAGGGTACAATTGTAATGTATTCAAAAACACAAAGTTTAAAAACTTGGCATTATATTAAATATCCTTTGACCAGTAGGTAAAAGGTAAAGGTTTTTCCCTGATATGAAGTCCAGTTGTATACGACTCTGGGGGTTGGTGCTCATCTCCATTTCTAAGCCGAAGTGCCAGCGTTGTCTGTAGACACCTCCAAGGTCATGTGGCCAGCATGACTGCATGGAGTGCTGTTACCTTCCCGCTGGAGCGGTACCTATTGATCTACTCATATTTGCATGTTTTCTAACTGTTGGGTTGGCAGAAGCTGGGGCTGACAGCGGAAGCTTACGCTGCTCCCCGTATTCGAACCTGCGACCTTTCGGTCAACAAGTTTAGCAGCTCAGTGGTTTAACCCACTGCGCCACTGTAGGCTGGACACTACTTTGCATGCGGCAGAGCTCATACTGCATTGTAATAGGTGGTCTGTGGTTTGCTCTTCTCCACTATGCTCCTATCGATGCAGGCCAAAATCCCATTGGCTTTTTTTGCCGCCACATCACATTGTTGGCTCATGTTTAACTTGTTGTCCACGAGGACTCCAAGATCTTTTTCACACGTACTGCTCTCAAGCCAGGCATCCTCCATTCTTTATCTTTGCATTTCGTTTTTCCTGCCAAAGATCTTTTTCACACGTACATATATGTGTGTTTGTATATATGTATATATATATATGGTTATATGTATATATGCATATATGTATATATATGGTTTTGTGCATTCATTGTAATGGGGTTTTTTTTGGCTTTTTAAGTCTCTTCTGCAGTGTTTTTCAATGTTTTATGAGTGATGGTCACTTGTTGGCCTGATAGGTGTATTGTGTCCAAATTTGGTGTCATTTCGTCCACTGGTTTTTGAGTTATGTTAATCCCACAAACGACCATTACATTTTTCTTTATATAGAGATATTATTATTATTATTATTAAACTTTATTTGTAACCCGCTAGCATCTCCTAGAGGATTCGATGCGGCTTACACAGGCCGAGGCCTCAACAACACAACATAACAATACAATCAAGCAAATCAAACAATTAAAACAAATTAAAGCAAGGTAAACAACAAGCACAGTACATTAAAACACAATAAAACTGGGCCGGGCCAAAAGATGGGTACAAGGATTAAAAGTGCTGATTTGGCAGGAGGTGTATAAAGGGTTACTAGGGCTAGTGCGATGTGCGGTGTGCAGCAATCATTGGTTCTGGTAAAGTGCTTGTGGGATTCGGTGGTGGAGATTTCCTAATCTGGGAAGGCGCATCGGAAAAGCCAGGTTTTTAAGTTCTTTCTGAAGATAGCCAATGAAGGGGCCTGTCTAAGGTCTTTGGGGAGGGTGTTCCAGAGTTGGGGGGCCACTACGGAAAAGGCAAATATTAATATATTATATATTAATATTAATATATTATATATAATTATATTATATTATATATAATTAATATATGTTGTTGT